CCAGATATATCGGTATGAGAGATTTCCATGCCACAAAGTTTTGGCCATATTCTTTGAGTACGACTGGGCAAGCTGGTATCGATTTGGTATCGTTGACAATATTTTCTTCTGGAGTCTTCTCATCATCTTCCTGAGATTCTTTCTCAGCAGCTGCTCTTTTGGTTCTATCCGTGGTATCCTCTGCACCCAGAGGCGTAACCACATCAAAAGTGCTTTCCATCTTTGAACTAGTGATTCCTAGTCTGAAGTACTTTTATCAACGTACTTATTTCTTTTGAGTTGGGTGGTAGAACAGATCGTCGCTGATAACGTATTCACTTTTCGGGTACACAAAAGATAGGAGTGACAGCTCCAGAGCATCAGACTATGCCCAGTAAACTTTATTGAAGCGGAACGCGTAATATATACGTACACTGAAGTAAGAGAAAGGGAAACAAGACTGCGTAGGAGTTTAGCTAAGCGTAGCGACAACGAACACGGGAAAGACAGATTTCAACAGAAGGTAGCTATGTACACGAGTTGCGTCTTCTATACTGGACTCTCCAGCAATTCCTGACTCTTCGAAACACAAACAGCCTCCTCACAATGAAGGCTGTTCAGAACTTCCTCAATTTTCTCGAAGTTCCTTGCGTGGTAACAGACGGCCGCTAGCCAAGAGCCCCATCGCGTCACAACAGGTCGAGGCGGCAAGGCTAGATCCGGAGCGAGATCTCCAAAACATTGTATTCGCGAAGGTGCTTTGAGAAAGACTTCTTTCACGCTCGCGACGAAGGCATCTGTTTCTGGGGAGAGCTTGCGAATATCTTCGCACACCCTGTGAACGGCGTGCGCGAGGCAAATGACATATACCATGCTCGGGAAGAGGACTCTCAGTCCCTCTGCCGCTTTCTTCATATTTTAGGATTGAACAATCACTCAACTGTCAACTCTTTTATTTCTCGCGAAACTCGTCCGTCTAGCACGTATGCGACCGATCGATGGCGTAGCCGAGAACGGAGTGTTCTCGTGCACATCGACGTTACATGTATCCATGTTCTCGCATTGTTCTCTCGATCCACCCTCGCATTCGTCGAAATTCGTTGGAAGCGGCGGCGCATAGAGCGACGCATTTGACATTCCTACAATATATCTCGCAGCGTCTGTTACCAGAAGCAGGACACGGTCATCTTTCACTCCGTCTGGCCAGAGTATATTCATCGAATTACAAAAAGCCTGAGCGATCGTTGTCTCGACAACCTCTGATCCGAGGAGGTACGCTTCCGAAGGCTGCGAGGCGTCGAGCCTACCCACCACGGTATGCACGACGAAGAGTCCTCTAGAATCTGTTGTTTCATCTATGGATACCCAATCTTTGCGTCGCCGATTGAGGCTCTGATCCTTTTGATCGTAACATCGTGCACTTCTTTGAGGCACGTTTTCCTTCGAATTGATTCATGCCGAAGGGGTTGATTCGACCATTTTTCTCCAGGAATCGCTCTAGAGCTTTGTTCTGTATCTTGTAGAACGGGACGTCTGCTTCGACTGGGGCTTGGCAGAGCTCCATGTTGAATAAACTACCTCTGGTGGGCTTCGTTACGAAATTCGTGAGAAGCGACACTTGATCGCCGCCAGTATCTTCCTCACGTGCCACACGTTTAAGGTGACCATCGCCCCGTACGTGTTGTTGAATGAAGTACTGTTGTTCCTAGATTGGTCGAAGGCTAGGTTCGGTAGATCAGCGGGACACGTACGAGCTCAGAGAGGACAACCGGAGGTTGAGATGGGAGCACACCACAGTGATTTTATTGGAGAAAGTGTCGTCTTATATATCAGTAGGTTGACCCTCTCCGAGAGGCACAGTTCGTAAGGCATCGAGTAAGATTTCCAGATGGTTACTAAATACGGAATCAGAAGAGAGGCCTGATGAGTGGAGCCTCTGACATGTGTCAGAGCTGGAGCCTCTGGCACGTGGCACAGTACGGAGTCGGCGTTTACCGAAATAGATATGACAGAAAGCTTAGCTTAGAAGAATGAGTGTAGCTATTCTTAAGTTAGTCTCAACATCCCCTCTAATAGGTAACATCGAAGGCTTCTAAGCGAAAATTCGGACAATTTTGGTCCGAAAATAGGGGTAAAATGAGTGGTAGTTTTGAGATAGATAATACTTTGCCATGCGAGAATATATGCGAATAATTCGTACAGCGTTGATTCGAGTCCGTTCGAAATTTCGATTTTTCGTCGAGAAAGTTCGTGAAGATCGGCGCCTGCGCGCGGCGGCTGCGTGTTTTGGAGACAGTGCGGGGGAGCACTCGCTCGGAGTGTCGGGATCGTTCGGATCGGTGTTGCGAATATGGTGCAGCGAAGCGCGATAGAGTTGAGAAGTGATTTTTCCCAATATCTCGGATCCCGAGACGCTGAGGAGTAAAAGCTTTTGCTTTCCCCTCCGAGTCAGTGTCGAGGGATCGGAGGTAAAGATATCCGCAATAAAGCTGGCTGAGGTTGATTTCGTAGCTTCTTTTTCGTTGAATTAGAGATTTTCGTGAGGGAAAGGAGTAAGAGCCGGTAGGTCTCCGGTCTCTGACTTGAATTCAATTGCGGTGTTCGTTTACGGTCGCAATTGATCGAGTCGCGATTTGTGAGAAGGCTGTTCTTTTGTTTGTTTGGAAGAATCTTTGGGAGAGATTGCTTTTCCTTCGACGATATGGTCGAGACACGTTCGGGGAACGTTTATCGTTCTGTTGGCAGAAGAGCAGGATTCCGAAATCTTCGAGCCGAGGAGAGTTCGGAAGTGTTGGATCTCGAGAGTACGGGTAGTGATTCTCAGGTCGAATTCAACGCGATGGAGCTTTCGGAGGCCTTTCGTGATGCCCTGAATCAATTGGAGATCGAGGAGACTGACGAACGTCGTCCTGGTCGGAGACAAAGCTCCTGTGCGTCCGAAGTCTCAAGTCGTCGGGTCCTGTTCGTCGTCCTGATGCTGTGGTTTTTGACGCTTGTTTTCATTCGGCATCGTTTTTTGTAGGTTTACTCCTTTGAGAAGTGGATATGTATGTTCGTATGCGT